CTCCAGCAGTTTGCACTTTGGGAAAACACAATAATCATCGTTTCCCCTTCATGGAATATATCCTCGCCTGGGACATAGATAGATCTGGCTCGTATGAATCTAGGGTCCTAAAAACATGTCTTCTCCAGAAACACAGAAAAATCTACATATTATATGTAAGACCCTTTCTTTTGTTACACTATGCTCGATGTTTAGATATATTTTTCTCGGCGTGAGACACGCTGAGAACAAAGTATATTTGTCATATATTTATATATATCTTACACTTTCTTACTTCCTTTCGAACCTACTTTGGTTATTCTTTTATCTTTCAATCTTTTTTCTTCCTAATACTCTTTTTCTCTTCCTACTTTTCTTTATCACTTTCTCTCTGTTTGTCTTTTTCTTTCTAACATACGTAGAATGTTCTCCTGCCTCTCCCTCTTTTCTCTTTCCATCTGTCACTTTTTCTTTCTTCTTTTCTTACATATATCGTATCTTTTATCTCCCTCTCTATCTATCTATCTCTCTCTCTTATTCGTTCTTTCTTCCTTTCTAACATATCGAAAAACTTTTCACTTTCTACTTTTCTCTCTATATTACTCGTTCTCTCTTCATTTCTATGATCTCTCTCTCTCTCTCTCTCTCCCTCTCTTTCTCCTTCTATTTATCTTTTACTCTTCCTTCTTTTCATACATTCAAATTTTTTTGGTGAACTCAGTCAACACATACCAGTAATTAGACGTTTGTATTTCAATTGCATTGTTCATGTTACAGCGTTAGGTAATCACAAAAGTTTCGTTACTTCGAAAAGGCATGGCACGGCTGTCAGTGACCATTTTGTTTGCAATGTCCGGCATGGCGCGGCTATCAATGACCATTTTGTCTGCAATGTCCGGCATGGCGCAGCTGTCAATGACCATTTTGTCTGCAATGTCCGGCATGGCACGGCTATCAATGACCATTTTGTCTGCAATGTCCAGTGTGACAGTTGAGTTTCGTAATTCATTTTCTCGTGATTTTCAATTTTTGCTCTCGAAATAAAATTCACAGAAATCGCAAGAAAAAAATGCGGTTATTGATTCTGTTCCTAGCGCACCCGGCCTAGATCTTAACTTTTCTCCTTTGTGCCGTGTCCCTTAAGGATGTGAGCAATCGTGGCTCGACACAAATTCCCCGATCTTAATGCTGTTTTATAAAGTCCTACTTATCAAATAAATCTAGACAGAAAACCCGAAGGCGATTGGCTGACAACTTTCCAGAAACTCCTGCAGCCAAGTCGGTTCCAAATGTAACTCCATGTATTCCTACAATAGAATCAGAATACACAATTTGCGTTGCAAAAGAAGAGGATGAACTCTGATCGCCACTGTTTACACGCGATTAAAAAAGTGCACTCTGTGGAACTGCTCATCTACTCAAAAGAGTATTGTCAACGTAAAGAAAATATAAACACTGTACACATTAAATTTCACTTAGCATAAGGACTTGTACAAATAGGATGATGCATCTACTTCTTCTATTTGGTCTCACGTAACAGAAAGCATAAGAGAAAGAAATAAGAAGATGAACAAAAGAAGAACTTGACTGACAAGTGCATGGAAAGCAATCGCCCTGATATCACATGTGTGAACGGGAGCAGCTACGAATGGATCCTGACAGAGTGCAGTACCTTGGGATAAGAACATCGTGGTGGCGAAACAAGAGAAAGTACAGAGGTACAAAAACCTGGCACCTACCAAAAAGTGGCTCAAATTGTCCCTTTTGCGGTTGGCGCTTGTCGAGACTATTCAAAAGAATCTTTCTATTTCACATGACGCTTTATGGGTAACTGACATCATTAGTAGAGCCCTCGGATTGGTTGGAAAAGATTCCACAAAACTAATTAAGGAAATCCTTGAATTTTATGCCTTAAAGTAATACAAAAAAAAAATTGTTCTCACGAGTCCAGACCCAAACTTTACGAAGGGCTTTATCTATGTAAAATATGTTTGTGTGAGTGTGTTTTTAATTGTTCAGTGGAAAATAATAATAATATGGTGTAGCGGGAGCCCCCGGTATCACACAAGGGTGAACGAGGTCACGTTAAATCTGACGGTGAAACAATATGGACGACAGAACGAGGATATGTATGATATATAGAGGTTTCTTCTAAAAGGAAATGAAGATGGTCGGAAACGTTGGAGGTGCTGGAAGCTGCAGGAGGTGCAGGAGTGCTGGTAGCTGCAGAAGTGAGCTGGATGCTGCAGGCATTGATGGTCGAGGTTGGCGTTGGTAGTTGCTAGGATCATCGTTGTTGGGGGTTGAAGCTGATGTGGGTTGTTGCCAGGATGATCGCTTGGTGGTTGTTGAAGTTGATTGATGAAGCTGAGTCGTTGCCAGGGTGCCAACTTGACGTGTTTTGTCGTTGCCGGGGTGCCAACTTGTTGCTGTAGTTCGTGTTGCCAACTTGTTGTTTGTCATTGCCTGGATGCCAACTTGACGTGTTGGGAAGGAGAGAGAGAGAGAGAAAGAAAGAAAGTTCCCAACTATCATTGGCAGACAAAAAAGAAAAAAAAATGGGCGTGTAACTTAATACACACCTGTTGATCGGCGTCCTTGGCCAATGAATCCAGCGAGAAATAACTGTCTTGTCACAAGGGAGACCAGCAAGAGAAATTGGCTAAGCTAAGCGAAAAGTCTCTATAATAAAATACTACGAGGTTAGCTAAAGAGAACTAAGGTCTAAAAATGACTAGTAGTATATTACAACTAGGTTTGTAATATAACCTAACTAAAAAGGGGATTTGCTAGTCCCTCCGACGTGTTAACAGTGTGTAAGGAGCATGAATGAGAGGTCAAGGTCGAAATGACCTGTTCCTCTGCCGGTTCAAGGATAGAAGGAGGAGGTAACTCCGACAATGGAATGAAGAATAAAGGGATTATGAATAACAACAAAAATAATATGCACAAGAATTCTAGATTTAAAAAATATAAAATGTAAAAATAATAATAATAAAGTGTATACAAATGTTCCGAAAAAGGAAATCGTATATTGATTTTAAAAGAACGCTCATTTTTATTCAATTTACTACAAAAATGGCTTTTAAATTTTATCCGTTTATATTACATTTTTTCTTTAATTAAATAATTTAAGTTATTATTAACATTTAGCTTTATCTTCTGCTGCAGTAAAATTTCTATGGAACGTTGTTTTTAATTCTAGAATAATAGAATAATTCTAGAATAATAGAATACTTTTCTTCAAAATAAAAAAAGAAGCAGCACGTCTTAATCTCATTTTCTCTTGATGAAGGCATAATCTGTTAAATACACAAACACACACACACACACACGTGCTTATATATATTTGGGGAAATAAGTATAACAAAGTGGAAAAAGTTTTCGTGTAACGTGTTTTGTCCTTTAGGACTTCGTCGGGCTAAAGTAATGTTTACGTTGACGGAACTACGCATGCGCACGGACGAAAGAGAGAACCTAAGAATTTAAAACATTTTTTTATTCTTCAAGTGGGGGCGGTAGCATTGTTATTATGAATAAGAACACATACAATGATAAAATGAATTTATTTATTAGGAAACTAATTAAAAGTAAATACAAATGATTGTATAGACTAATAAAATATCAACGTAGAATACCCAAACTTTACGGTTTCCCTAAAATCCAGAAAGCAGGCATCCAAATGCGCCACATTATTGACAGCGCTCCCAAAAACTAAAATTTAACCTCCCTCCCTGGAACAATCAGCCCTCATATGTAAAAACTATTCGAACAACTTAACTGAAAAAACTAAATGAAACAAATATGGCTAACAAATTCATAGCCAGTCTAGATATAAAATCTCTTTACACCACCATTCTGGTTGATAAATGCTTAAATCTAACACAACCAAAAATAAAACTCTCCTTACCTATAGCTAAAATAATATAAATTCTGCCGTCTCATCACCAATCAATGCAATTTCATATTTAACGGTAATTTTTATAAACAAAAATTTTGATCGCCAATAGGATCGTCCCTAAGTGGAGTGAAGATATATATTTTCTTAGAATTTCTCGAATCTGGTCCTTTCCAAAATATTTTACCTAAAGAATAAACATATTCCGATATATTTTTGATGCTTTATTAATATATCCTTGTGCATTTATCGGATCTTGTGAACTAAACAAAGTTGAACATACAATAGAATTTATATATGAAATGAAGAAAAAAAACAATAATTTACCTTTCCTAGATAGTATGCTGCACCACATTAACAGCTGCTTAAAATATACACCGAAAATCAACTAATGAAAATTATTTCATAAATTTCTATTCTCATCATAACAGCAAAATAAAATTCGGAATAATCATCGGATTCTACTTAAGAGCACTCAGAATTTGCAGCCCTCAACATTTGCATGAAAAGAAGAAATATATTGAAAATATTTTCAAGATCCTCCAATGCCGTAACTATTTTATATTCAATGCGAAACAAAAGGGTCATAAAATATTTAAAAATAGAAAAACGGTCCAACGAATCAAATAAAATATATTGTTCTACCCACCAACTCTATCACAACTACAATTGAATAGAATTTATCTATTCTCAATATTAAATGTGTCACAAATACGCCTAAAACAAGAAAAAACTTAATCCATACAAAACAAAATAATAAGCTAAAACTTGAAATCATTGCCATAAATAATACACCGGAGAAAGATTATATAAACACAATAGGGATTTTTTTACAAAACTACACATTAAATACATTAGATTCTCACCCTAACTAGACTGGCTTCAATTTTGATTTTAAAAAGAAAGTCTACACTAATTAAAAGAAAGAACAATTAACTAAGAAGATAATGTTTAAAAAGTACATTACAATTTAATTACTAGACCATCCATAGTAAATGTGCGTCCGGGTTCTTACAACATTTCACCATTCATGGCAGATCTTCGATTATCACATTGCGGGAAATTTAGGAACAAAAGAGATGGAAACAAAAACAAAGAGAATCTAAATGAAATCAGTTAGATTTTATAGATAGATAGATAGATAGATAGATAGATAGATAGATTGGGAGAGAGAGAAAATGGACATAGAAATCAACACTGTATGGTCACAGTCAATTTCACGATTCAAGCGTTTTTATTTTTACTGTTTGATGAGCACATGTAGCGTGTCACCATAAAATATTGATTTCTATGTCGATACTCTTTCTTTTCTCTCTCTCTCTCTCTCTCTCTATATATATATATATATATATATATATATATATATATATATATATACATACAGTGTGCGATGGGTAAATTGCCTTCATTTTATATTATTAATTTCGTGCAAATGTGTTGCTTGTTTTCGATTTTGTCGACTGTTATTTTTATTTTTACATCATTTAGACGACAATTTATCCATCGCACCCTGTATATAAGTGGAAATTACGCGTAAGAATGAAACAAATTGGTTGGGTTTTGAACTCACTTATCCACTTTTACATACGCTCTATCCCTAATATATTGAGCACTTCAATCCATAAATATAGCATACCTAAAAACTATATTTTTATCACACACCCACACACGCTTATATATAAGCCAACAAGGAAAGTAACACGACAATCCTTGAAAATCAACAAAATTACGGGAGATTACCAAGAAGCGTCAGTTGTATTTAATAAAACTTGTATAAAAGTGCGATTGCTACCCAAATACACAATTACACACACACACACATATATATATATATATACACACAATCCTGTTTCGCAGCTCATCAGTGTGATTAGACATCCGATTGCTTCAAGCCGGGATCGAAACTCGACTGATTCGGCATCAGTCAGAGAGTCTACCCCTAAGCTATCGGCGCAAGTGAGGCAAAGGGTATCTTTTAACGTATTATATACGTGATGCATATAAACGATAAATCAGCAACCAGAGCGCTCAATTCATAACTGAAGAGCGATATATATATATATATATATATATATATTGAGAGACAGAGAAAACAGAGAGAAAGAAATCAAGAGAAATTAATTCGACATTCCTCCATTTAACCTTGAGACAAAAATAAAAAATAATTGTGTCAATGATAATAAAAACAGCGAAGGTAACACAAAGCAATCTCGGTACTAATTTGAAGAACGCAAATATAACACATTGAAGCATTTCAATAAAAGTTAGCAATACCTGTTTTTCATGAAGTTACAATATTGAAATGAAAAACGTCGATGCAATTTAAGCAAATCAGTTGACCTGTTCGAGCGACAGAATACACGTATTTACAATACAGGCTAAAATACGGTGACAATTATAATATTGTCAAGGGAATCTCTTAGGAGGAAAATTTCATTAAGATCAATATCAGATAACGTAATAACGATACTGCAATATTCTTCCAACGATTTCCGAGTTCGAAATTGTAATCGATGTATATCAAATATCTACACACTTTATCGATTAGCAGACTTCGAAAGAGACTGGACAGGATGAAGATCGATTAGCAGATATCGAAAGAGACTAGACATAATAAATATAGCCGTTTCGTTTGTTAAATAGAAATTTTTTCGTACTTTAAACAAATATCATCTGAACATGAAAAATGTCTCTGTGCTGTGAAACTCATTGTTGTATAAAATTACATATCAGCCCCTAAATGTGTCAATCAACAAATGTAAAAAACATAAAAGTATAAACGACAAAAGTACAATTTCTTTTTATTCAGTGTTATGATTTATTCTCATCGTTGTCTCAATAAAGCAAAATCGACGAACAAAGGAAGAGAATATCAATGCAAGGAACATGATAATGATAATAGCATCCGTTTCCTTATAAGGAAAAACTCACTATTCATTGACCGAGCAGCCAGTGCTACTCTCGGTTGAAATTTATAAAGTCTTTGTAGTAAAACAATTTTTCAGTAAAAAGATAAGCTTTTCAAATTTAGTTGCTCTTATTTATTTATTTTTTCCAATATTAAAGTCGTGTGGAACGTCAATATCTTGATTATGTCGTTGTGTTACATGTGCTATCCATTTTAGTTGTACTTTTGTCGTTTATTCTTTTAAAGTGATATGGTTTCTGTTATTTGGTACAGTTCTTTGTTTGTAATCGTGTAGCCCCAGTCTACGAGATTCAAACAAGGATGATTCTCCTCTTAGATCTACACGCTTCACCCGCTCGAACCCTAAAATTATTGATCTGAAAAAAAAAAAGAAGTTGTATACAAGTTCTGAACAATTTTGACACTCACATGATATCCATATAAATGTCTTGATCTAACGAGGTTATTTCAGATTAAGTAAATACACAAAGTTTTAGGTTATTTTTATGCAAAACTACCCATAATGCAGCCTTTTCTACGTTCAATTTCTTAATCTCCTATATCAATTTGTTATGACTGATCCACACCCCGGTAGATTTATCAATTCCACATCTTGAATTTTATGAATGTTCCGGAAATATTCAAAGTACTAAAATAAAAATGTTAAGCATCTTTTGTTCAAATGATTCGATAAAATGTAAGGAAAATCATTAAAGAAATTACTTTTCACATTCATTGATTGGTTGATGAGGCAAATTTATTAACAGTTTATACATATTTATCAAACCTTGAAAATCATGGCTCCACTTTGTCAATTACCAAATACTTTTACCATCCGTTATTTGACACGGGTAAGAATCTGGTATCTTGACAGCCAATCAGAACAACATTGGATTAAAATATTTTATTCATATTTACTATTTGTTTGTATTTTTATCAATTCATCCAATATAAAAAAATTGCCGTCGTCCAGTTTTTCTTTGCTACAACCACATTTACTATTTATGTCTCTATCATCATTTAACACATTTTGATGCAACCAATATTTCATCAAAACGTTTTATTCGCCTTTACTATTTTTGTTTAAAGTATCGACTGTAAAGAAATATTAACAGGTAAATTTCAAGTCATTGTTAGTTTGTTGCATTTTTTTTTTTTTTGCTCCAATGTTGACTTTGCCTAACAAATATCCAATTTATCGTGATAACCAATAAATCCTTTTCTTAACATATTCTGCGATCAACAATATTCAAAGGAATGATAATTTTTTCAAGACAAATGCATCGTTATCTCTTTTGTTTCGAAAATAAAAAAGGCATTTTATTTGCTACCATTTTGAACTTTTGTTTCTGCGAACGTGTTTTGGGTTTTTTTTTTTAATGTCATGTCCTTTCAGTGTTTAGGCGATCATGATTTCTTTTCTTTATTATCTTTCAATTGCTATACATTCTCGTAAATAATATAGGAGTGTTTTCCCGTTGCCTTCTCACCGGTTCGGAATTCAGAGTTTGCCTTCTCTTAGACTGGTTGCCACCCAAGATTCGAGAGTTCAATCTACCCTACCCTGTCCAGTCTAAGGGGAGAAGAGTTAGGTTCATGCATTACGAAAAAGTGCTGGCCACACTCAAAACGGTACTGAACTTTAGTTTTTAGCTTTTATTTAGATTTAAATTAATTTTTATTAAAATGAATATTACTTATGTAATATTAAGTTTCTTCGAAATATCTTTTTCACAAAATCTCCGGTCTTATATTTTTTTCACTGAAAATCCATCTTTCAAACGGTGTCCCAAATATGGCTTGAAATATAACAAACCCACGTCCTTTTACAGTGATGGGTACGCTTGTACTGCAAACGCTTGAAAGGGATCTCAGAACATCTAGAAAGTTCTTGTGCTAAAATTCAGAGTTACTTATTGCTTTAAAAATGGAATAACTAATGATGCCCGAAATTAAAGGTCAAATGCCGTATGCAGAAAGAGACGCTCAATGCATGACGTCGAAGCGTAAATACATGTTGTTCCGACTAACAATTGGGCTAATGGGAAATAATATACTAACCTTATTTTCATACAGCCTATTCGGCGTCAGTATTTAAGAGCAGATGTTAATAAACGACTGTGTTGTATTTTTGTAGTTAATCATTTGCCTTGGCTTTAAGTCTGGGTTTTTTTTTCAAACGGTGTAATGTTGAGCCACGGACAAATAATCAGTGGAAACAAAAAAATTGAAGTAGAGTGGTTAATTAAGTAAAGTAGTAGATGATTCTTCATCCGGGTCGTTTAAATCTGGCCCAAGTAAATTGCCGATGTCAGTGAAAACTAAAAAAGAAAATGGCTTAGGGTCAAACGGAATCTAGAGAATTACTTCCGGTAAAAAAAAGTGACCGTTTGATTTTGTCTCGTCAGATCTCGTGTAGTCCCGTTTCTACATCACTTTTCACTAAAAATAAAGTACTTTCTTATTTTACAGTTTTATAAATATCTCTCTTTTGTTGCGGGCTTCGTTTTTTTTTTTATTTGATCTTTTGATTGATTGATTTGGGGGTTTTGTTTTTGTTCGGATTTGTTTACAAAGAAGAACTGCATTAAATAAGAACAGAATAATTTTTAAAAGCAACGACAAAACTGATAATTATCAATTCGATCTGATTTTTATGATGCAACAAACAAGAACACTTCATTGACGTCTACAGTTTTAGATGTTTTAAAGTCTCGTTACTCCTAACATTGTTGGCCAACTTCTCAGGGCCATGGCACTCGAATTGGAATTTGGTTGGGACAACGTCAAGATGGTGCCTCTTGGAAATTGGCCAACATAAGTCGCGGTATTTGAGGAAAGTTACAAAATCTGTTGATCTTCTAACCGGACGAAGATTTAGTCTTGAGACGTCGAGATCTCAAAAGGTTAGCCGATAAGAGAAGGACAAAGGCCGATTTCTCTTTCACTCTTTCTTCATTATTTCAAATATGGCATCCCATGGGCAATCGATGCTACTCCTACATTTTCAGAAATAACTGCTCTAAAGAAATTAAATTATTTTTATGGATTAAATCCCCAAATCATTTGAATTTAATTTTTCTTTGCACAGGCAGACTAAATATGTTTTTTAAAAAGACTGTTAAGAAATTTAACATTTAAGATATAGATTTTAACTCATTTTGAAACACGAGAAAGTCACAAACGAATAGACAATAAGAAAGAATTTACTAGGCTCGCCTAAAGTCAAGTTCTCGGCTAGAAAATGTTTTTTTCTGGAAAACATATTAGCTAAATCTTTAAATCAAAA